TTTCTTCCAGGGCCTTAGTAAAAAGATGCAGACCATACATAGTGCATCACCATCTAGTGACAATGCATACGGTAGCCATGCCAGGAGCTGCTAAACTTTTAACAGCAGCAAATTTGCAATATCCACGTATACATGTGCACGCAAAAAATATTTAAGGGGTGACAGGTAAGCTTCTAGCAGGGATGAAAAATTCCGATAGAAAAAAGAGGGCAGTGTATCGGACTGGAGAAATGTCACACGGAGTACCACAGGGTTCAGTTCTTGCACCAGTGATGTTCATTGTCTACATAACCTATCTACCAGGTGGAACACAGAATTATATGAACATGTTTGCTGATGATGCTAAGATTATAGGAAAGAAAAAACTTAGATGATTGTCATGACCTTCAAGCAGACCTGGACAAAAGTACAGTATATGGAGCACCAGTTTGCAAATGGCATAATATTCACATTCCATGTTATGGAATGTGGAAGAGAACAGACCCCACACAACCTATAAATTACATGAGAAATCTTTAAGAAAACTATCAACTATAGACCACAAAGAACATTGTGCGAGGAGCCTATGCTACACATTCTAACTTCAGAATTGCTTTAAAATAAAAAATTTAAGTTTCTGACCAAATCTCACCATTTTTATACATGCGTGAAGTGCTTTGTTCTAAAGTCCTTGCTGTCGTTTAGTCACAAACCCATAATGTTTGGAGGTGTGAATTCTTTTTAGTCTAAATTTTGCACATATTCGGAAGGCAACAGTGAATAATTTTTACAGTAAACTGCATTATCAAACTATTTTGCAGTGTGCAACATGAACGTTGTATGCCATTCTGACACTAATTAATAAAATAAGTTGGTGACATTTCAACTTATTCGTAATTTGAAATCATGAAATTAAGTTTTTTTTTCTGCATATGCTGGGGGGACAGGCTGCGTCCCAAATTAAAATGTTAAAATTCAAATTTTGATCAGATTATTGAGACTGGTTTTAAAATGAGTGCCTTTAGATTGCACACAATTTGATACTATAATGAACGACATAACTATGTCGTTCATCAAGACCTTAACTGTCATGACAATTAAGGTCAGAACACTGAAAGATTATGAATACTTTTGTGATGAGCATCCAAAATTAAAATATTTGTTAAAATTCCATTTATCGTGCTATTATGGAACTAGTTTTCAAATGTGCGCCTTTATACTGCAAACAATTTAATGCCAAAACGAACGACGTAACACGACAATTTATGTTATCAAACTGATAAGAGTACACACACACCAGGTTGCGGGTGTACCAATTGGTGCTCGCTCACTGGTAACGCTGGCCAGACTTTCGGCTTTGCTGTGGGGGAGTTGAGCCAGGCTTTTCGACCTTTACGTGCATATACCCCTGTAGGGAATTTTATTGTGAACACATCGATACCAAAAGGATCAACGTAGTACAACAATTAAGGTAAAAAAAAAAAATGAGTACACAATTTAGTCTAGCCGCGGGCTAACGAGAAACGCCCGGTGCACAATTATGTAGGCTGGGGTGCGCACGCCAGACGCGAAAGTGTTTAGGGGGTGGTGGCGATGGTGATTTGGTGGAGACAGTGGTGTGGTGAAGAAGCACGCCAACAAACTGGAAAAGGTGCAAAGAAATGCCACTAAGTGGCTCCCAGAACTGAAGGACAAGAGCTACAAGGAGAGGTTAAGAGACATTAAATATAACAAACTGGAAGATAGGAGAGGTGATAGGATCACTACGTACAAAATGGTAACAGGAATTGATAAAATTAATAGGAAAGAATTCCAGAGACCTGAAACTTCAAGAACCAGAGGTTACCAATTTAAACTAAAAAAGGATGCTTAAGATAAGAAAATTCACTTTTGCAAACAGTGGTAAATGTTTGAGAAAATGGTGAGGGCCAAAATTGTCAGTAGTTTCAAAGTGTTATGACAGTACTGGGAAGATGGCCTACCATGAGCATAGCTCTCATCTTGTAACTACTTACATAATTACACAACATTTAGGATTTACTATACAAAATGAGTACCACTACAGACTTCAATACAACACATGAGCAGGATATAATTACATAAAAAATGGACAGTTATTCCCATACAATGACTCCAAGACACTACAGCTAAACCACAATAGATATGGATTTGTGCTTCATGGATTCTAAAAGTAAAAAAAAAAAAAAATTTCACGACCCACTTTTTCCTGCCCATACCCTAAGAGGGTTTTGGGAACAAATCCACAAGAGCCGTGATGGGGGGTTCGAATGTACGAATGGGTGTCCCCAGCTAGAAACATCCCGTTCATAGGTTCGAACCCTCATCACGCCCCATGAGGATTTGTTCATTTGATATATCACACTATTGTGATTTCTGTGTATAGGGTTTTGGGAGTTCGTCTACTACCCTGACCTGAAGCCCGGCCCATGCATGATAAAAGCTAGATAAAATTATCTGGCCAAAATGAATCAATATATGCAGCTCATACCTTGCGTTTTGAGAGCCCTTCCACTCCCAACCCCAGTCAGAGGCCAGGAAACAACCAGTGAGCCACAACCAGGTCCTAGTGGTATGTGCACAACAAGAGTACCCCAGATATATCACTGCCTCATGTTACAATAGACAGGGATGCTTCCTCAGTCTTCCATACACCAACTAGAGTCCACAATAAAAGTGCAGTTAAATGTTGGTTTATTTAGTGTACATTTATTCCTTTGTGTATGAAAAAATTCAATATGATGGATGAAATTTGTTATATTTTTGGCGTGGAACATTAATTAAATTGCCATTATTTACGAGAAAACTTTGATTTTTATTTTGATTACAAATATTTGGGTTACAATTTTTTTTAGAATCGATTAATTTTATGCAGCGACTTTCCACTATTAAGTTAAGGCTAGGCTTGGATGGGTTTTAAAAATCTGTTTTAACAGTTTTGCCAAGTGACAAGGGAAGTACTCTAGTGCAAAGGGAATACATAACATTAAACGTATATTTATGATTATTGGGATAATCATTTTTTTTCCCAAATCCCTTAACTTCAAGATGGAATAGCATTTACTTTGTCGAGACAACCATTATCTAGAAAAGTAACTTGCAATGTCAACGATTGTAAATGTATTATTTCCCCCAATATATTTTTTACAACTTTCATTTAAATTTTAAGTTAAAACTTTTTTCCCATATACTTTATTATTTAAACCATATTTCACTTGTAACTAAAATAGCTCTAGCTAAGTTTGGCAAGTTTAGTGTAACAATGATTGGGAAATTTCAACATGGAAATATCACATGCAACTCAGATGTATACCTAGTGGTGTGTGACGCAGCCGTACACCCATTATTGGCCGTCTCTAACCTGTGCTTTACCAAGTGATACCACGGCATGAAATTATCCAGACTCATTTCTCAATTTCAAACATGTACACCAACAAAAGCAGTCAAGGTAAATACTGTGAGCAAGACTGCCACACAATACACTAGAAACACCAGGCAAGAACTACATATAACATGGCAAGCAACCACGAGGGAGACGCGGCGGTCCGCCACACAACTTCACTTCAAGTATCTTATATCCCCCCCATGATGGAGTCTTGTAGATGTGCTACCTGGTTGATGGGGTTCTGGGAGTTCTACTACTCCCCAAGCCCGGCCCGAGGCCAGGCTCGACTTGTGAGAGTTTGGTCCACCAGGCTGTTGCTTGGAGCGGCCCGCAGGCCCACATATACCTGGTTGATGGGGTTCTGGGAGTTCTACTACTCCCCAAGCCCGGCCCGAGGCCAGGCTCGACTTGTGAGAGTTTGGTCCACCAGGCTGTTGCTTGGAGCGGCCCGCAGGCCCACACCCACCACAGCCTGGAACTTCTTGGAAAACAGTCCAATTTTCTCTTTTAAGATGTCCACGGTTGTTCCGGCAATATTTCTTAGTCGCTGGGAAGACGTTGAACAACCGTGGACCTCTGATGTATATACAGTGTTCACTGTGCCTATGGCACCTCTGCTCTTAACTGGTTCAATCTTGCATTTTCCTCCATATCGTTCACTCCAGTATGTTATTTTATTTTATCAACCAAAACGGTTTACCAAGTGCCTAAACAAAATGACTGAGGCCCAGTTTATGAACCATAGTGACCACAGCTGCCTGGCAAAGGGGTCAGGGAGGTAGTTACCAGTTCCCCGTGGCACAGTGGTAACACTCGCCCGGCGCTTCCCGAGCGCTATGGCCTGGGTTCGTATCCTGGCTGGGGAGGATCGACTGGGCACCAATCCTTAGCTATAGCCTCTGTTCACCCAACAGTATTAACTATTTGTACACCTAGTCAAGCTATTAGCTTTTGGACCCTGCCTGTCTAACCAATCTATTGTCCTCTATTGTATACTACATGTCTAACACAGTGAATGGGTACCTGGTTGTTAATTTAGTGGTTCGTATTCCAGGGAAAATTAAGATTAAGGACTTGACCAAAGCTCTAAGCGTGCTAGTGACTTTACAAGACGGTAACTCTTATATAGTAACAAAATTAATAAAAGTTAAGGTTGCAGAGGTGCCAGAGGCCAGTGTGGCCGCCATGTGGTCACCCACCCAACCACTGCCCCCAGGCCTCGCACACTAACAAAAGATAATGCACATTATACAGAGCCCACAGGTGAGAGCCAGCCAGCCTGGGGCAGGTGTGGGGCAGGTGTGGGCAGCGTGGCCCCACACCTGGGGCAGGGCGCCTGCTGGCCCCCACACTACCTTTTAAAGACATTCTTGGCAAAAAGTTCCAAGAAGCACGGGCTATGGTGAGCCCGTAGTGGCCTAGCCTGGCACAGGAGCTGTAACACGACCTTCACGCCGCTCTAAGTTACAGCAGGCCACATATACACACCAATATATGGCAGCGTGATCACCACGCGGGAAGAGCAGCGGCAACACCTTAACTTATGTCGCACATTTAGCCCACTTCTAACACGCTATATGCTACAGGAGTACGTGGTGTGAGAGCCGTGAAGACTTACCCAGGCGTGGCGCCGGAGAGGACCGTGGCGGAGGTAGCGTGGAGGCAGGAGAGGCTGGAGTATGAGGAGCGGGGCGCGGGAGTGGCGGCGGGTGATGGAGGCCGCACCATGAGGACCTTCACTACCGCGGTTCTAACTCACCTCTCACAAAACATCTCAAAACTATTCACCACTATCTAATATTATTAACCCATTGATTTTACGATTACACTTTTTAATTAGTAAAGCTGATATGTATTTATTTTGTTTGGAGAAAGGAACCATTGGTGAAGCGGTCAGCTGAAGGTGTAAACAAATGTTTGACAGCGGCGGCTGCCCTCTGCCTCCTCGTCTCTGTTTTATCTACACTCTCCTGCCCTCTCATGGATCTCATGGAGTCACTCATCAATAAAGCTGATGTAAGTCTACCATGTACCTCACTTGCTTAGCGGTACTGTTTCTTTTTTCTTACATACATATTGGGGTGGTTGGAGGGTGCCCGTGGGAGTAGTAGCTGGAGTCTCTCTTGTTATTATTATTATTATCTGGTTGTTCTGCCCTCCCCCGGTGCTCTCACGAGCACTCTCCTCTCTCTGCGTCCATATGTTCCGTATGCAGTCTTTATGGTAAGTGTCGGGGTGTTGTACTCCACTCTAGAGAAAACAAGCGTTTTGAAGAGTATCATCATCGGTATAGCATCTCTAGTGTGAAAAGTTCTTGTTATCCAACCTGTCATTTTTCTTGCAGTTGTGACGGCTACTTTATTGTGTTCTTTAAAGGTAAGGTCTTCCGACATGAGTACACCCAGATCCTTTACATTGCCTTTTCGTTCTATGTTATGATTTGCCTGAGTTTTGTACGTGGTTTCTGTTTTTATATTTTCAATTTTTCCATAGCGCATGAGCTGGTATTTATCCTCGTTAAACACCATATTATTTTCTGTAGCCCATAGAAAGACCTGATCTACATCTGACTGGAGGTTTGCCATGTCCTCTATGTTGCCAACTCTCATGAAGATCCTAGTGTCATCTGCAAAGGATGATACAGTGCTATAAGTTGTGTTCTTGTCTATGTCCGATATGAGGATGAGAAAAAGTACTGGAGCAAGCACAGTACCCTGGGGGACTGAGCTCTTCACGGTTGATGGGCTGGATTTTATTTTATTGACTATTACACATTGGGTTCTGTTAGTCAGGAAATTGTAGATCCATCTGCCTATTTTCCCGGTAATTCCTTTTGAACGCATTTTATGTGCAATAACACCATGGTCACATTTATCAAAAGCTTTTGCGAAATCTGTGTAAATTACATCAGCGTTTTGTTTGTCTTCCATAGCATCTAATGCCATATCATAGTGGTCCAGCAACTGCGACAGGCAAGAGCGCCCTGTTCTGAAACCATGTTGTCCAGGGTTATGGAGATGCTGTGATTCCATGTATTTTGTGATCTTACTTCTTAGCACTCTCAAAATTTTTTATGATGTGCGATGTTAGTGCTATCGGTCTGTAATTTTTTGCCTCTGCCTTATTTCCTCCTTTATGGAGTGGTGCTATCTCTGCTGTTTTTAGTATGTCAGGGATAACGCCAGTAACTAGGCTTTGTCTCCACAGAATGTGAAGGGCCTGCGATAGTGGTTTTTTACAGTTCTTGATGAATATGGAGTTCCAAGAATCCGGGCCTGGTGCAGAGTGCATAGGCATACTGTTTATGGCTTCTTCAAAATCTAGTGGGGATAGGGCGACGTCTGATATATGATTTGGTGTTGGTATCATATCCATGAAAAATTCATTTGGGTTATCAATCTTTAGTGCATTTAATGGCTCGCTGAAAACAGAGGCGTACTGCTTCCTCAGTAACTCGCTCATTTCTTTGTTGTCATCGGTGAAAGTTCCATATCCCTTTCGCAGGGGCCCGATACTAGATGTGGTTTTTTATCTTTATTTTGCATAGGAGTTAGCTAAATTACTATATTAGAGGGGTTAGCTATATTGAAGGTGTTTGCTATATTAATGGAACAACCTACAGACAAATTTCCCCACAGCCTCTCCCTTACTCCACCCTCTTCCCTCCCCTCCACCACTTCCTCTCTCTCCTGGGTGGAACCAGTGCCATGTGAGTTGTTCCTTACCAACTTCCACCATATGTTTTCCACCAAACACACAGCGAAACTATGACGTTGCTACAACGTTCGAACAAGATTTAACACCACCTAAACAGTTATAACAACCAATATAACAAGTTGTAATAACGTTCTAATATGTCAAAAACACGTTAAGCCAAGATGTAACAACTTTATTACAAGTTGTAACAAGGGGAAAATAGGCTCAGTTACGATTTGTGTTTCCAGGGTTTGCACTACCTTACAGTCAAAACCCCAGTTCTGGCTCTGTTAAGAATTTTATTTGTTTATTTTTCAATAGCTCCAATAAAGTCATTTATTGCCAGTGTTGTTTGCAGTAAAGCAAGTGCTCAAAATAAAAGGTGTAAGCTATATATACAGAAAACTAAATTTAACACTTTGAAAGGAGAGAACAACCATTATTTTGTATGAATAGCCAAGTCATACAAAATAGAGGTGAATAGATAAGGTAAACCATATTTTTCCAATTTTGACAAAATTTAGTGTCATAAGAAAATACTTGCATGCTGTGGTCAACAAGGAAAATGGTCTTAAAGAGCTTAAATTTAAATTACTGTGAAGACCTTAGCCAAGATTATACATTAGGCAGTTATGTGGCAGGACCCATAGAGTTGGATTTCCCTTCTCATAGATGCTGATAGATAAGCATATACATACTGTACTGTACTATACAGTACTGATACAGCCACGGGTACTGTACTGTACTGCAGACCCCATGACGTAGTGGTAAGACGCTCGCCTGGCTTTTTGCGAGTGCCTTGTCCTGGGTTCGTGTCCTGGCCTGGGAGGATTTACTGGTCGCAAATCCTTAACTGTAGTCTCTGTTTAACCCAACAGTAAAATGGGACCTGGTTAAATGATTTGATGGGGTCGTATTCTGGGGAACATAGGATTAAGGACCTGCCTGAAATGCTATGCGTGCTAGTGGCTGTACAAGAATGTAAGCACTCTTGTGTATATATAAATAAATAAAATAAATAAAAGATTAAAACATATTGTTTAGATTATTGATATGACAATTATTCATAATTACAGTACCTGATAGAGCAGAGTCATGAAGCACTGGTCCAAGGCAGCTGTGGAGCTCTTCATGGACATCCACTGTTCAGTAGACTGGCAGCAATCTATGCCGAGGAAGCTACTAAAACACCCAGACTCAAGGTAACAAGTGCACATTTATTGATGGTACATATGTACTGTACATAGGAGGCCTGGTCGACAACCGGGCCGTGGGGATGCTAAGCCCCGGAAGCACCTCAAGGTAAGGTACAGTACGTTGATTATTTCTCGCCTTTTGGCCCAGCACTGTTAGTGATGCTGCAGTCTGGTAAAAGCTTCTATTGTTTGGGTTTTCCTTTTCACCAGATTTAAACTTTGTTTTTAATTTTTGGTTTTACGAAGGGATGCAGTTACGTTTCACTAATTTGACTCATGATGGTTATGTTAGTTACTGTTATTCTAATCCAGGTATATCTTGGAGATACTTAAATGTAAAAATATTCTAAAATGCAAAAACTGAGTAAGAATAAATGTTTCCAATGATAATTTAATTTGGCTTACATAGAAGGTAAGTTTAGGCAGATAAAAAAGAAAACTTGACTGTTAAATGTAATGAAACTTCCCTTTTCTAGATGAGCCTCGGTGGCTCCCTGAAGCACACACTGAATGTTTCAGGGAACTCTGTACAAAGTGGTCACATCAGATACAGGAGCTCTGTTTGGCCTACTGTGGACCAGAGCCAAAAACCTGCCCCCCCTACTTCACGTATGTGCTGAGAGTCAGAAACAATTCACCACAACACCAGGAAGGCATCCAGAAAGTCTGAGAAGATTTTCAGACAGCTGGAGAGTTAACAAAGACCAAATCCTTGAAAATGCCAAACAACAGTAGTCATTTCACACAACAATAGAAACATTCAAAATTAGCATGAAAATAATTGTACCAAATTCTATGATGAGGCAGCTCAGCTTGCACTCGCAGCAATCTTCCAACACAGATTGCTACTAAGTGGCTCCCAGAACTGAAGGGCAAGAGCTACGAGGAGAGGTTAGAGGCATTAAATATGCCAAAACTTGAAGACAGAAGAAAAAGAGGTGATATGATCACTACATACAAAATAGTAACTGGAATTAATAAAATCAATAGGGAAGATTTCCTGAGACCTGGAACTTTAAGAACAAGAGGTCATAGATTTAAACTAGCTAAACACAGATGCCAAAGAAATATAAGAAAATTCACTTTCGCAAACAGAGTGGTAGACGGTTGGAACAAGTTAGGTGAGAAGGTGGTGGAGGCCAAGACCGTCAGTAGTTTCAAAGTGTTCTATGACAGAGTGCTGGGAAGACGGGACACCACGAGCGTAGCTCTCATCCTGTAACTACACTTAGGTAATTACAGACAATCATGTACGCACATAAGAATGGAACACAAACAGTCATGTACACACATACGAATGGAACACACAATCATGTACGCACATCCGAATGGATCTCTCCCCCCCCCGTAAACACATCAACGTGTATACATATACATAAATATAAAGAATACATGCATGTACAGTATAGTATACGTTTACTTATATTTACAATATTTTCAAAGAATACTTTGCCAAACCTAATGGCAGAACTTAAAATTGAGTTTATTTTACTTATAAAAGATTTTTATGTTTACAGAGTATCAGCCTAACTCACAAATTATTGGAGAAGTTGGTAAAACGTGATAACCTCAACTGCCTGGTGGTTAATTTGTATCGAGGTAATGAAGGATACTCTCTTGCTATCAAAATGTCATCGGGACTGGAAACAGAAACTGTCCGACTTTCATATGAGGAGGATGTTTTTTTGACATATATTGGTAGGTATCCTGTTTGGTATGGTTGCTGGCCATTATTTATGGATGTAATTCATAAGTGAATATTGACAAATGATGTGACAACAGTGCACTCTGCTTTTATTATGTCCCTTAGATTGGTAATAATTTCTTGCTTGATTAGAATTTGTTCCGTATCTATAGATATTTAAATTGTGTGATAAATAATATATGATTATACTTATGATGTGGTGCAGTATTGTAATGTATTCACTTACACATACAGAACTCCTTTATTCTGTGTTTATCTGTATTTCAATCTCCTAATTAACCCACACTTAATTTGTTAATTTTTGTGTCCAAATCTATTCCTCCACAAAAATGGACGAGAGGCACTACCTTGTTGGTTTATGCTTTAGATAGACTAGTGGAAGACCTGGAATAAACAAGTTTTGTGACAGCTTCAGCATATGCTTGAAGAAAGGTAGTCTTGTTTAACAAACCTGCTACTGTTGAGTGGCAAGAAATCAATGATCACACAGGAAAGAGAAGGACAGGCTGGCAATATCTTCGTGGAGAGTGACACACTCTTGGTGTCAGGTGGAGGTTAACTTCGTAAATAGTTTGTTATGATGGACTCCCCATTAAATACAAGGAGACAGCCCCCACCAGTGCCACTGAGGTGGATGCAGTATATTTTATAATGGTGTCTTATGGTAAAAGAACAGCAACAGTAGAGAAGGTTTAGAATAGCCTCACTTATTTACCTGAAAATGTATGTTGTAGAATTTATGTTTTAGTTCTATTTTTATTACAAATACGAAGATATGTACATACATAGCTTCTTTGGAGACAGTTCAGCATCGAGCAACAAAAACCATTCCGGAATGAAGTTTGGATGAAAGAAGACCCTCATACCAGGAACAGTTGAGGGCAATACGGCTAACAACAATGCATACCAGACATGACAGGGGGGAATCTAATCAAAACTTTTAAAATATGGAACAATTTTGAGGATGTTGATCCAGACACCATCTACAAAAGGTCAGATGTAACACAAACAACTAGCAATGGTTTCAATCTCAATAAGCCACAATGTAGGATTAAAAATAGGGAATGTTTTCTGGGGGGAGTCCCTATAGCTCCCCTGAGCTATCCATGGCTGTTATGGATATCCTAACTATTTTGCATCAGTCGATGTGGGTGGAGTTCTAGCTTACCGGGGATCACGAGCCAGAACCTGGCCCCCTCACAGAGGCACGGGGAGCAATGGCCCATAGAAATGCACATGTGATTTAGAGCATTCTATATCTGTCATTGACCGGGACAGGCACCCAGAAAGGTAAGTGCCACAAAACAAACCCCTATTCTGATTAACAAAGAAAATTGACAAACACGTGGACAAAACTCCCCAAAAGAAAAACGGGCAAACAAGCATGACGTCACACATGATCGCCCTGTATTTATGTTTGGGTTCTCGTAAAGGGAGTCAGCCCTCCCCTCCCCCATTCGGGGAGGGGAGGGCTGTGCGGACGACCTGCGTGGCAGTAAATTGTGATAATTGCTTGTTTGCTTGTTTCCTTGGGATTGTAGGGAGTTTCTACCTCTCTGTTCGTTTTTTTGTTTTAGTTTCTTACCTTGTGGGGTTTGTTTTGTTATGCCTACCTTTCTGGGTGCCTAACCCCGGTCGATGGCAGATGAGGGAAACCCCCAACCACAATGGAGTTTTCCAGGGCCATTGCTCCCTGAAACCTCTCTGAAGGGGCCAGGTTCTGGCGCTGGTCCCTATTAGGTCTGAACTCCTTAACCCTTACACTGCTCAGGGGTCCTGGGGACTTTTACACCCCTGTGCGCAAGAAAAAAAAAAATTCAAAATTTTTTTTTCGTCTTCTAAACATGTTAATTTGTCCCCCCTGAGCACGGGAAAAATAATAAAAAAAATCGTAGGTGACATATTTTAGGCGCAATTGACCGAGGAAGTCTGGCAAAAAGTGGGCGTTGACAGAGCGGTTGTCAGACCCGGTCTGCGTCACCCGCGCTGACAGATGGGAGTTGCCACAAAGATATTATTACCTAATTGTTTCAATGTCTCCGATTGATTTTTTCTTAGTTTTTTTGCAGTAATATTATTCAATAGTGTGTATTGTAATATATTTATATAATAAAAGTGGTGAATAATTGCTATACTCAAAAGTATGATGTGCATATTAGTGATTCAATTATTATGTTTATAAAACAATAAACAAATAGTTTTGCTGCTATTACACTCTATACACAGGTTATATATAAGTATTGGCATGTTTTGGTCACCATAACGAACCACTAAGTTGGTATTGAGAGTCGAAAAGCAACGAAGAGTTACCGCCACACACCAGCCAGCCACTCGCTGCCAATCCCTCAACACACGCACTAAACTTTCTTCCCCAACAATACCCTTTGTGGTGTTATTACACTATATACAGACGTTATATATAAGTATGTATATATTTTGTTCACCACAACTGTACAGCTAAGCTGATATAGTTAGTTCAGGCACTAAGAGTCGTCGCTATACACAGATGGCGGCTGGCGGCTCCCTCACTCATTCAAGGTCACACGCACTAAACTTTCTCCTCCAACAATACTGTTTGCAGTGTTATTACCCTATATACACATATTATATATAAGTATCTACATGTTTTATGCACCGTAATTGTACACCTAAGCTTGTAGTGCACCCAAAGAGCATAGTGGCCACCCTCTAAAGAGCTAGACAAATCGTGCAGACGACGTCACCTCCGTCACCCATATGGCTCCTCCCAGCATAATCCTTTTGCTGTTATTACACTAATACACACATTATATATAAGTATCTACATTTGTGTTCACCATAGAGAACCACTGACCTGGTATGGTGAATGCAAACAATAACAGGTGGCCACACAGTCAGTAAACGATGCTGTCTCCCTCCGTCTCTCAGCATCACTCCTCCCACAGCGCTAATTATTACAACAATCCTGCTATTATCACAACCCTGGTTATTTATATCACGGTCATGGGTCATCTGTAATATTGTCATCGCTAAATAATAACAATTATATATTTATTTTGACATTTTTCGGCGATGCTGTGGTCACAAGCTGAACAGCAATGCTGTTTGCTCATGCTGCGTGCGCCAGCCTTGGTTGCTCCAACAGTACTGTGCCTCTCACACCTAAGAATATTGCCCACGATTTTTTTTTAATATGGCGTCTGTTTACAAGAGCCCTGAGGAAGCTACTGTGAACCCCGTGTAGCCGCGGCCATTTGAATTGGGCCTGGCACCCTATGGCGTACATATACGCCATGTACACCGTGGGACATGTTACTCAGGGCGTATATATACACCATGCGCAGTTTAAGGGTTAACTAATGTCCTGGTCTAATATAACATACATTAGCCCGATATGCTCCAGGGAGCCTCCAGGGCTCGCCCAGAAAATGGCGTTTCATTACATTCAACGCTGGTTTTATATATGTGAGTTTCAGAGGCCATTGCTCCCTTTGCTTCTCTGAGGGGACCATGTCCCTAGTAGGCATTACAACTCCATATGACTAAAGCCCCGTAGCAATATTAACTAATATCAGTCCAATACCTCCAGCTCCAGGTAGATCCTCCAGGGCTCTACCCAGAAAATGGCGTTTCATTACATTCACGCTGGTTTTCACACACGGTTATAAATTCATGAAACTGTCTACCCGCTGAAGCTGTAAATGCCAAAACTCTGTTTAACTTTATAAGAATAATAATACCAATTCATTGTGTTGGGCGACAGGCAGCTAGAGTGTATTCATACACGTTAGGCTTATAGCGAGGGACTCTTCCAAGGTCAAATTACCGACCTCTCCCAGGATGCAACCCCACAATAAGCCGACTTATTCCTGAATAGGTACTTAATGCTAGGTGAACAGATGCTTTAGGGGGATAGGAAATACACTCATCCATTTCTGTCCTACTCGGGATTCGAATCTGGAATTATCGATTGCGAGTCGAGAACGAACCCGACTGTACTACTGGGACCCTGATCCTTTAAAATTTAGCTTGAAGAAATCATCTGAACAAATGGGGGGGGGGGGGGCCTTTGATAGGCCACCGGCTTCCTGTCCTTGTCGAGACCACTAGAAAATAAATACATATACATGTACATGTACTGTATATATAAACCAATAAGACCAATAACCTATATACCAATATGAGACCAATATATAAACCAGTCGAATATATAAACTAATGAAATAATTATGGAAAATATATATGTAGCAACTGGCGCCCCACGTGCTGGCTGAAGCTAGCGTGTCCTAGTTCATCATCACTCAGCACCCCTAAATTACTTAACTTCTCAGCTCCAGCACAGCTAAAATATTTTACATACAACATTTTATTTTAGGTTCTCGTGATCAGAGAACACATTTTAAAATATAAGATAAAAAAATTGTGGGAGGGGTGGAGGGAATACTTTATTTTCGGTGCACCTCAGGTTTGTCACAATTCAGGTTGTGTAGGACTGGTGTTAAAGGCAATCAGCATGTAAAGGATAAAATCCAAAGATTGAGAGTGGGGACGAGATTCACTGAGAATAAAAATGACATGTGCAAAACTCAAAATGAAAGATTCCAAAGTGTGTTTGTGAAAAATGAGGTTTTCAGAGACCCAGATACAATGCCAGATGCAGAGACCCAGACTAGTCCCAAAACTAAAAGGCATGAGTTACGAGGAAAGGCTGTGTGAATTGCACCTCACGTCACTGGAAGACAGACAAGTTCGGGGAGACATGATCAGCGCTTTGTCATAGGTTCGTATCCTGGCCGGGGAGGATTTACTGGGCGCAAATCCTTAACTGTAGCCTCTGTTTAACTCAACAGTAAAATGTGTACTTGGTTGTAACAACGATTCTTCGCGGCGGGGATCGTATTCCAGGGACTTGCCCGAAACGCTACGCGTACTAGTGGCTGTACAAGAATGTAACAACTCTTGTATATATCTAAAAAAAACAAAAAAAAAAAAAACAAGATTCTCATGAAAATTGACATTATTTAGTACAGTTGGTACTTACACAAGGAGACACAGGTGGAAACTGAGTACCCAAATGAGCCATGGAGACATTAGAAAGAACTTTTTCAGTGTCAGAGTAGTAAGTAAATGGAATGCATTAGGCAGTGGTGTAGTAGAGGCAGACTCATACACAGTTTCAAATATAGATATGATTGCGCTCGAGAAGCTCAGGAGCCTGTAACACCAGCAGCTCAAGCCTCGCAAGCACGACTAGGCGAGTTCCAATGCCCTCCCACTTAGCATACCACTAACTCTCATTCTCTCCTCCTCCTTCTCTGTATGTTCCTTATTTTAAACATATTGATACAGGGGCAATACACTTTCAATTTGAAAACACTTATAATACAGTACTGTATAGCGTGTATTTAAAGTTACACATGACATAGGGGCCAAGGATACTCCTTGATCACTTGGGATTGAAACATATTTCCAGTTTCAAATTTAATTAAATATTGTTTATTTATGAAACCCTTTTTGCAGATAATGAGAAACTTCCTCCAATGCTTCTAGACTTGCTAGACGAGTCAAGCATAGAAATCTACCAGTCAGGATGTGTAATAGCTGAAGTTCGGGATTATAGGAGAACACTTGACTCGTCTTTTGATACGCGATACCTTCTTCTCCAACCTACAAATCAGGTCAGCCATCTTTGACAAATGCTTTCTGAGTATTTCTGGCATGTTCAACAGCCCAGATAACAGTTGTGTTGAGGATCTCTGACCAAGCCTGCTAGAGAATGTTTCTGGCATGTTCAACAGCTCAGATAACAGTTGTGTTGAGGATCTCTGACCAAGCCTGCTAGAGAATGTTTCTGGCGTGTTCAACAGCTCAGATAACAGTTGTGTTGAGGATCTCTGACCAAGCCTGCTAGAGAATGTTTCTGGCGTGTTCAACAGCTCAGATAACAGTTGTGTTGAGGATCTCTGACCAAGCCTGCTAGAGAATGTTTCTGGCATGTTCAACAGCCCAGATAACAGTTGTGTTGAGGATCTCTGACCAAGCCTGCTAGAGAATGTTTCTGGCATGTTCAACAGCCCAGATAACAGTTGTGTTGAGGATCTCTGACCAAGCCTGCTAGAGAATGTTTCTGGCATGTTCAACAGCCCAGATAACAGTTGTGTTGAGGATCTCTGACCAAGCCTGCTAGAGAATGTTTCTGGCATGTTCAACAGCCCAGATAACAGTTGTGTTGAGGATCTCTGACCAAGCCTGCTAGAGAATGTTTCTGGCATGTTCAACACCCCAGATAACAGTTGTGTTGAGGATCTCTGACCAAGCCTGCTAGAGAATGTTTCTGGCATGTTCAACAGCCCAGATAACAGTTGTGTTGAGGATCTCTGACCAAGCCTGCTAGAGAATGTTTCTGGCATGTTCAACAGCCCAGATAACAGTTGTGTTGAGGATCTCTAACCAAGCCTGCTAGAGAATGTTTCTGGCATGTTCAACAGCTCAGATAACAGTTGTGTTGAGGATCTCTGACCAAGCCTGCTAGAGAATGTTTCTGGCGTGTTCAACAGCTCAGATAACAGTTGTGTTGAGGATCTCTGACCAAGCCTGCTAGAGAATGTTTCTGGCATGTTCAACAGCTCAGATAACAGTTGTGTTGAGGATCTCTGACCAAGCCTGCTAGAGAATGTTTCTGGCATGTTCAACAGCTCAGATAACAGTTGTGTTGAGGATCTCTGACCAAGCCTGCTAGAGAATGTTTCTGGCATGTTCAACACCCCAGATAACAGTTGTGTTGAGGATCTCTGACCAAGCCTGCTAGAGAATGTTTCTGGCGTGTTCAACAGCCCAGATAACAGTTGTGTTGAAGATCAACAACAACAAAGACTGTTTGGGAATGTTTCGCTTGTGTATTCATCATTAACTATGAACATATAGGTCATCATTAACTATGACCTATTATAACTGGAGTTATTTTATTGTTTAGAGTGTTTTTATAATTGCATTTCTAAGGAGGGCGGGGGGGGGGGGGCCTGTCGGCTCCCTGAAGCTATCATCACTGATTAAGTGCCATTCTATCTAGTGTCATCACTCACAGAGTCTGTATTGACTACCGGGGACCATTAGCCAGAACCTGGCCTCCTCAGAGAGGCTCAGAGAGGCTCAGAGAGCAATGGCCTATGATCACTACATTTAAAGGTTTGATCTTTGCCATCAACTGGGAAACACCCAGAAAGATTGGCGAATCAAAACAGCCTGGTTTAAAAATAAGACTGAAGCCCCCAAAATGTCAAAAGAACTCCCCTAAGAAGAAAAAAACAACCAAAACTGAGTGAAACTAGCCCCCCCCCCCCCCACGGGTTAACGCTACCTCCCCCCCTCATCGAGGGGAGGGGAAAGCCAACCCGAGAAGGCCGAACCGACCGGTTTCCGTTTTTTAATGATGTGCTTACCTGACTCACGTGTACACTTACTGTTAATAATACTTGTATTATCTGAACAATTATGCTAACTGAAAGTTAATATCGTAGATTAGTTCATTGTTTATGAATAAAATGTTTATGTAATCAAAATATGTATGTAATTAAAGGCATTATTTTGCACGTGTTGAACAGTCAGTAGCAGCAGATATTGCAGCTATGACTCGGGACCGTGACTGGACCTCTGAAGAACGCCTTCACTTAGAAGCAGAAATAATTAAGCGAACAGCTCCTCCTCTCAATCTTTCTCCGTCTCCTATGGTAGCGATCATCAACAACAAACTACATCAACGAAAATATAAATTTTCCACCGTGCCTATAAAGAGAGCAGCACGGAGGTTTAGTCAGGTAAGTGGCACAGTGAGGGAACAGTTCTCATGTTTACAGACACTGCGAGAGAGTTTAACAGACAGGTTTAGAATATGTAAGAGTGTGATTGACTAAAATTAAATATTTGTGGAAATATTTTCTGGGTGGATACTACAGAGAAATGAAATATGCAGCATTTTGTTACAAATATATGTGGAAAATGGGATGGTGTTCTAAGAAAATTACTGTAATTACAATAATACGAAAATTGCATATATAGTGGAACCTCATTTTGGTGAATCTTCGGATGCAATGCACACTTTCTAGGCCGGATTTACTTGCCTGATTTGACACGCGACAAATTAAATAATTAAAGTGTGCATCAAAATGTGACATTCTATTAGGACGGGTTGTTTACAAACAGGTTCTCCTGGGAGTTGTCTTGTGTGTGATAGGTTGAAATAATAATTTTGCTCAGTGAAATCAGGCCTTAGGGCATGAGTGATGACTCTCTTAATATGGCATTAGTCATGTTTTAATGATTTTTGTAAATAGAAGCCATTTTACAAAGAAAGAAACAGCTGTAGCAATGTATTTTTCTTGTCTTTAAAAAATTGCATCTCAATTGCCACCAGAAAGCATCTCTAGTTGCTACTACTCCCTCACTCCAACAAATTAGGGTTGGATCCATATAGTATATACTGTAATGCAAAGTGTAAAGTTTTATTGACAACATGGTACAACAGTGACCTATGCTAATTACAAAAATACTAAAGTATTTGTGAGAGCAGATTGAGACAGTGACTGAGCAGATTTCAATTTTCTATTAAAATAAAAATATAAATCGGTGATAAAATATTTTCTAGGAGCACTTTAATGGTGGCTTCTTTATGAAGAACTTCCGGGAGAACTCCACCCAATTCAATCCACGCCAGAGCATTGCGAGTTGTTATAAGGCTGTTGGTCACCAGAGGCCAAAACCTAGAACTTAGAATTAGAAATTTTCAGTGGCATTAAGATTATCATGTAAATTTATATGTTTTTAATATCTTGCAGATTGCTCAGAATCGTCAGAAAAGTTTTGAAGAATCAGCTGCTCCAAAATGTTTAAGACTGCATAACTTCTTGAGTGGGAAGAAAGACAAACGACCTAGTACCAAAACCTTAACAAAGCCAGTAAGTGCAAAACTGTTTCATCTATCATTTGGAGGATGTGGTATAATATTTACATGGTTTTCTGGTTTAGTGAGATGTAGAAGAAAGCTGGGTGGCGGGATCATTGTGTGTTGCTGCCAGACTCGAGGGTTACTCACACAGGTATACGGGTCATAGGACTCTTATAAACGATCTAGCTCCCTCTAGAGAGGGACAGGAAGAAATCACTTAAAAGAATAAGGGATTTGAATGAGTTAATTGTAAGAGTGATACTGGGAAAAGGGTTGAATTGAAAGCTTGTGTAACTTAACGCTAATTTATTAAAATAAATTAATACACATGGGTTGGTTACATTAACAGAGTTTCACCATCCAAGCTAAGTAATTGAGAACTTGCCTCCCATCTGCAAAAAACACATAGTGATCTAATTGAAACACTCATGAACAACTCTCTTTACACTAGTAAACAAAGGTAATTGACTAGTGTATCATGGTACACTTAAAACACAGATGTCAGACAATTACGCGTGTATGCACAGCGATAAGACTCCTATCTCAACACACAAACATCAATTGTTCACAACAATTGTTCACAATAATTGTTAACAATAATTCCTCTAAGAGATAGCAAATAACATGAATCAAAATAAAAATTATGCAAATGGTCCTCTGACCAGTACTTGTATGTAGAGGATACACCTGTAAACACAATACTCAGTGCGGACGAGTCAACCAGACTCCGTTCAGTGTGAAACACTCAACAACTGAGCACTGCGGTCACAACTGACCATTAACATGTAGACCTTATCCGATCTAACACACCTCCGCTGGCAGGCGTTACATCGGTTGTTAGACTCCATGCCTTTACAAACGTTGTTGGGGTTGATACCCAAGCCATGCCCCCAAGCCCCAACCACTAAGAATCAAACACAAGATAGTCTATTAGAACAAATGACAGAGAAGTCACATATGTGGTTGACCTTGACCTTCGGTATTTTGGCCTGCCTTGACAGCTGGCTGGTGTGGACTACCTGCTGATCTATGTGTCTGCTGGCCAGAGGTTCAGGTTCTTCCTGGATTGCTAGGTTCTGTTTCCTGCTTGGCACTTGCAGTCCTGATTGTTCTGTCCCAAGTTTGGACTTGGTTGAGCTTCGTTTAGGGCTAACTGTTGGCTTCGCCTTCCCTCCTCCGGTGGACTTGTCCCTGGCTGTTGCTCTTCCATTGTAGGTGTTGGTTGGCCCTGGGTACCTCGGTGGTTATTTGAGTGTTGTGTGTGTGTCTGTGCTTTCCTTTTGTGCTCTGTTTAGCTTCACTGGTAGTGTGCTCATTGGTGTAGGCCCCGTTGACCTTCGCTGGCTGCTGCATCATTGGCCTCCTTGAGCCTTCTTTTTCAGGTAGTTCTCTCTCTGATTTCTGCAACTTGGCTTTGCAGTTGTGTGGCTTGTGCTCCCAGGAGATTGGATCTCTGGACTCTATGCGCGGGCTCCTTCTGGGTTTTCTGGGGGAAGCCCCTTCGGCTCCCCGGAGTTTACTAGGCTGATATGCTAATGTCAGACTTTGGCATCAGTCATGTGTTTGGAGTTCTGTGGGCCTACCAGGGACCACGAGCCAGAACCTGGCCCCTCCTCAGAGAGGCACGGGGAGCAATGGCCTATAGAAACTCCCATGTGGTTGGAAGCATTCTGTGTCTGCCATCCACCGGGTCAGGCACCCAGAAAGGTAAGCATCCCAAAACAAACCCCTATTCTGATGAAGTTATTGTTACCAAAAGCCGAACAAGTGGATAGAACTCCCCTAAAAGAATCGAGCAAACGATCGTGACGTCACATGTCGCTGCGCCACTGTCTGCACAGCTCCCCCCTCCCTGGGAGGGGGAAGGGGAAGCCCCAGACCCTTCATGCCGACTATCCACCCGTCAATTCTAAGGCTGATGCTAAAGGCTGAGGTTGTGTGCTCTGGCTCCGGTGGTTGTTTCAGCACTGTACCTAGTGTGTGGTGACTGTCTTCTAAGTGGTGTGTGAGCCGGGAGTGATTCTCCAGTACTCGGGCTGCATGTGCCTAGGGTTTCCTTCCCTAGGTGCCCTGTAAGTACTGCCCTTGGGGCTTGGGGCCACCTTCCACAAGTTCCTTGTGTTCTGCCCCTGCTAGGCCATTTACTGCTTGGTTTTCGGCCGCCCTTTGTGTGCTTGGGTGTTCTGTCTCCCCTGTTCGCCTTGGGGTAGGGAGCAGTTTACACTGGTAGGGGTATGGGGTACTGCGCAACTTATTTTCACCAATCATAGCGGCCGGCTCTGTTCCGCCTGGGGTACTTTGTCCTCTTTTTTTCGGGGTTTTCTTTTTCTTTTTGTTTGTCTACCTGGTGGGGGTCTGCCTTGGTTCTTGCCCCCTGTGTACTGAGTACTCTTCCTTCTTCTGGTGGTTCCCCCTGCTAGGTCCCCGTGAGTGTGCACGTCCCATGGGTTCAGTTAAAAATAAAAAAAATAAATAAAATAAATAAATGTTTATTTAGGTAAGGTACATACATAAAGAGATTTTACAAAGTTTGTTGGCTTTATAGATAGAGCTAGTACATACAATGCCTAAAGCCACTATTACGCAGAGTGTTTCGGGCAGGAAAAACATTAATGACTAAAGCTTAATACTAATGGGTAAAAAGAATAAAATGTGTTGAGAACAAATAAAAATAGAGGTAAAAGAGGGGGGAACATGGCTGAAAAAGCAGCACAAATACAATTACAAATTATTACAGACAATTACATTCAAACAGCGTTGTTTTGAAAAAAAACAAAAAACATACATGAGTTGACAACAGAGGGGTAAGGTAGGTTACAGGGAATTTATTAGGTAGTGCTTCGTTTTTATCTTAAACTGGTTGAGAGAGGTACAGTCTTTAACATGGTCGGGAAGGTCATTCCATATTCTGGGTCCCTTGATTTGAAGAGCATTTCTAGTTTGATTAAGTCGTACTCTAGGAATATCAAAACTGTATTTATTTCTGGTGTGGTGCTCATGGGTTCTGTTACAACCTTCTATGAATCTTTTGAGGTCAGGATTGGCATTACAGTTCAGCGTTTTATATATGTATAATACACATGAGAGAATGTGCAGTGACTTAATATCTAACATATTCAGAGATTTGAGTAGGGGTACCGAGTGATGTCTGGGGCTAGAGTTGGATATTGTCCTAATAGCAGCTTTATGTTGAGTAATTAGAGGACGTAAATGATTTTGGGTAGTAGAACCCCAAGCACAAATACCATAGTTGAGATAAGGATAGATGAGGGAGTAATAGAGAGTCACCAGGGCAGGGCGGGATACAGTTCTTAGAATGTTGTTTGGTAGACTTGGGCGCCGGTTAGCAGTACCCTGCCTGGAATTACCTGGGCGTGAGTCCCCTGTTGGTAAACGCTCGGGACCCTGGGAAACCCCTGGGGGGCGCGTGGGTCCGATGGATGTGACCCCGGAGTACCCCCTCACTTTGTTCGAGTTCGAGGGTTGCTCTGTTCCCTTGTCTCAGGGTGACTCATTGTTTTGCCTCCGTCTGCTGCCTGTGGGGTCTGTGGTACCTTCGGCCCGGAGCCCTACGAGTTTTGTTGCTTGTTTGTGGCTTGATTACCCTGTCTTATGTTGACTATGTGGGAGCAAGCAGCACAGACGCTGCAAGTTAGGTTTCAGTGATGCAACACGCTAGGTCGTTTGCTCCCCGGGAGCTCCGGTGCCGCCTCGTTTTGGTTGGTGTGACGGGGCTTGGTGGTGTCGGACGCTTCGGTTTTGTTCCTTCCGTGTTCCCTGGTCTTCTACTGTTATGGTCCCCTCCCCCTTCCTCCCTACATCCAGATCCTTACCGTTTGTGGGTTCGGAGTCGTGTCGGGGTGGGGCTTTGCTGGTTTTGAGACTCGGGAGGTCTCGGGGATTTCTCCTTTCCTGGGTAGCGACGGGGGCATTCGAGCCTGTTCCTCCAGCCGTGTTGTATGAGTCTGCCAGTGGGCTCCCTTCCTTAGTATTTGTCCGGTTGCCCGGACTTTTTCTTGTGAGGCTGGGGCTTTGGGGGAACGGCTCAGCCCCGGGGTCTGCCTTGTGGGTTCTCGGGGCTGGTGAGAGGCTGAAGTTTGGACCCCTCCTGGCTTTTTCTACCTTTGGGCAGGGCTTGCGGTTATGAGGAGTGGGTTTTTTCTCCCCCTCCCATCTCCGTGCATGTTTTTGGGAGTCGACCCCTCCCTGGGATCGGTTCCTTGTCCCTTGGATCCGTCAGGTCCGATCTGTCGGTGGGTACGCTTCTCCACCCTTCATCTTGGGACGGGCCTTCACAGTCATGTTTCCCTCTTCTCGGGGATCTGCATGACTTTTGGTCTCGGGTGCGACTTAGCCTTCGTGCTTCACGTTTGCTTCTTTATGTTCTAGGAGGATTGGGAAAGTTTTGTTTTTTTCCATAGTCTTGGACCATCTGTCATCTTCCAGTCCTTTCTGGGGCTTGCTGATCCTTCTCCTAGCTTTTCATTTTTCGGTCCTGTTTCGTTCATTTGTGTTTGTCTCTTCTCTCCGTGCACTGTCCTGCACTGCACAGGGTTGCCAGATTGGGCTCCTTGTAGCCTAAATAGGATGCTGTGCTGTGTTTCTTTTCGCTCCTTCTGCTCTTTTCGACTACGGTTGGCGGCTGTCCTGTGTACTCTCATATGGGTTTCGGTCATTAACGACACTATTTTGTCTATTTTCTCGTCAGATTCGTGGTTTCTTTCTTCAGCTCGCGACTTCTGGCGACCCACGTCTGGCATCCCTGCTGCGGATGCGCAGTGATTGTTTGTTTTGATATGGGCGGTGTGCTCGTGAGCTGGGGTTTTGCATCCTTTTTCTCTCGGGTGCTTCACCTCTCGCTCTTCTCAATTCTTCAGTCCATGACCGGTAGCTCCTGGGAGTGTTCTGGATTGCTGCTATGGGGCGGACGTGGGGTTTTCCCTGCGTATGGGAAAATGACACGTTCGTGCCTACATTCTGCAGGTGAGTTTATGTGGTCTGTTCATCTGG